GAACGAGTTGAAAATTCCACTGTAAGTTTTAGTTTTTAAATGTAAAATCATAATTAGAGGGTGATTGTTTATAGATTGAACTAGTGTTTATTTTAACTATAGTTAATTTTTAAAAAAAAAAAATGATATGATTAGTTGTTAGCGGATATATTTAAAATAATATTTAAATAAAATATTAAAGTTGATTTGATGTAAAGCTGGAGAAAAATTGTTGGAAGTGATAATTAGTTAGAGTTATGTGAGTGTATGAATAGTGAATTAAAGTTGATGTGATGTGTAAGAATGATTGGTTGATATTATTTAATTATAGTGATAATATTTAGGATATTAAGGATTGAGTTAAATTTGAGTTTCGATTGAGTTTTTTACTATTCAATTCATATACAATCACCCCGACACAATCTGATCCCAATCTAAGGCCATCTCCAACCGAAAAACCTAAACTCAACCCATTTTGCAGTAATTCATCTCCAACCGAAAAACTCATTCTCAAACCCAAAAGAATATTTCCAGAATATTCTCTTTTACACCAACTTTTATAACTTTTCAATACTACCCACATATTTTACAACTTTACAAATTAAACCACACTATTATTTTAAATTCAATTTGGACTTTATGTAACTAAAATTAATTATACATAATAAAATCGGAGAAATAAATATTCATTAAAAATTAAAATTTCACTACACAAATAAAATTAAAAATTACAATTCACAAGATGAAAAATTATAAATTACAACACACAAGATAAAAAATTAAAAATTACAACACACATGAAAATTAGAAATTACAACACGCAAAATGAAAATTTAAATATTACAACACACTATTTAAAATGATACCATATGAATAAAAAAAATTCTTGTCCTACATTTGTATTTTAACTACATCTTCATTTCAAAAGTGAAGAAGATACATATACATCTATGTACCGATTGAATCAAAACCGTTACTTTTGAAAATATACGATTTAGTGCAAATTTACACTCTAGACCATATATGGTATAGCGCATATATTCACATTTTAAAAACTGTTATTTTTTTTCATTGTATTAGTGCAAATTAAATGATAGATATAACATTTAGTGCAAAGTTACACTCTAGACCATATATGGTCTAGCGCATATATTCACATTTTAAAAACTGTCACTTTTTTTCATTGTATTAGTGTAAATTAAATGATAGATAAAACATTTAGCGCAAATTTACACTCTAGACCATATATGGTCTAGCGCATATATTCACATTTTAAAAACTGTTACTTTTTTTCATTGTATTAGTACAAATTAAATGATAAATATAACATTTATTATTTTACATTAATATTACTATTTTGATAAATATATATAATTAACATTCATTAATTTAATCATCCATATAAGGATTGAACTTAAGTGCAAAAACAAAAAGAACAAAATAAGATTAACATAAAGAAAAGGACTAAAATGTAAAAAAAAAAAAAAAGAGAACGCATATTTTGCATCCAGACGCAAATTTGCGTCTTGGAGGAGGAGAGAGAAGGCAAAAACGCAAATTGCCGCTGCGTTTGCCGTTCGGTTGGAGAAGATTTCACTGCAAAAATTAAATTTTCCCGTTCAGTTGGAGAAGGTCTAATGCAAGAAGGTGTGAGGAAACTCACACCACCCTTTTTTACCGTCTAGAAGGGTAGACTCCATTTAATCACAAGAATGAATGTTGACCAAAATGCCCTTCAAGTCAATTCTACCCATATCATTGACCAGAAATTACAGAAATAACCCCCAACCTTTAATCAACTCTATTTTTTTCTCTTCAATTTACCCATAGCATTGACAAGAGTAATTACAGAAATAACCCCAAATTTATCAACTCTATTTTTTTTTTTTAACACGTCATGTCTTATGTCTATATTACCGTGGCCTTTTCACGTCGGGGAAGTTTTGGACCTTTTGGTAATTTACCCTCGGTAATTGCTTACGTTTTAACACATCCCTCACAAGCCATTTTGCCGAGTCAAGCTCAATAAAGAGACCAGAAATCACAACTCCTTTTAGAAACAAGAAAATGACATCTTTTTTTTTTTTTTCTTTATTTAATCCTTTATTCTTCTTCTTTTCTTCTTCTCTTTTGTATCTTTTGAAAAAAATACTTTAGTTAGAGTCTTTGAAATCTTACGCTTCACCTCTATTATATATATACACACATTAATTCCTTGATTTGTGTGTGAGCAATTTTATATATATATATTTTTTAAAAAAATAAATATAATTAATTAATTAATTAAATTAATTAAATGGGTCGAAGCCCTTGTTGTGACAAGAGCAAAGTGAAGAGAGGGAGTTGGTCTCCTGAAGAAGATGAAGCTCTGAAGAGCTATCTCCTCAGACATGGCAGCACTGCTGGGAATTGGATTACTTTGCCACAAAAAGCTGGTAATTAATGTTTAGGGAAATGCTACAGTCCGTTACAAAACCTTTCCGTCGAGATTTGTAATCGTTAGATCATCATGTAACCATCGTAGATAGTTGATCTAATGTTTACAAACCTTCGTCGAGATTTATAACTTTTAGATCATCATATAACCGTCGTAGATAGTTGATCTAACGGTTACAAATCCCACAGAATGGTTTTATAACGGGACCGTAGAATCTCCGTTTAATTAAATATGTTACTCCTAATTAATAATGATTATAATCAGTAATTAATTAATTAAAATAATTAATGAATTTTGGGTTTTATTTATCATTCATTCATCAGGTCTTCGTCGTTGTGGAAAGAGTTGCCGTCTCAGATGGCTTAATTACCTAAGGCCAGATATTAAGCACGGCGCTTTTACGCAAGAGGAAGATGTTATTATTTGCGACTTATACAACAAAATTGGAAGCAGGTAAATTAATTAATTATTGGCTAATTGTTGTTGTTAGTTAGTTAATCACAAAATTAATTTACCACTAAAATTTGTGTCATGTTTAAATACTTATTAAAAAAAAAAAGAAGAAAAAAAGAAGAATGTATCTATCTTCAAAACAATTGCTCATTGATTTTGTCTTTGATATTTCAAATTGGGTAGGAGGAACATTTGTCTTGTGTGGTCTTGTTATAACTTTTTTTTTTCTAATCAATGTTCGGGCGAAATTGTATTTTTAGTCCTGTTGGTTTAACGGCGTAAGCATATTTTTAGTCTCGGATTTCAATATTTTACTTTTAGGTCCTGTAATTTAGTATTTTGTTGCAATTTTGAGTCTCAAAGATCTGAAATTGCAACAAAATTTAAAATTGCAGGAATTAAATTGTTAATAAAAAGTTAATCCAAAAGATTTTTTTTATTAACAATTTAAGTCCTGTAATTGAAGAAAATGTTCAGATCGTAGGACTAAAAACACCACTGTATCAAACCAACATGACTAAAATTAAAAAATTTTGCCCCAATTTTTAACATTATTATTTATATATGTATTTGTCTTGGCTGGTAATTAATTAATTAAAATGATGATAGATGGTCCGTGATAGCCTCAAAACTGGAAGGGAGAACAGACAATGATGTGAAAAACTACTGGAACACAAAGTTGAAAAAGAAGGTCTTATCATCGACTCCCACTAATTGTAATCCCCAAAATGCCCCTCCGACCGTCGGCGTCGACCAGACCACTTCCTCGACTAATTACGACCTCGTCGTCGGTCTTCAAGGCTCAGCTGCTGATAATAATAATACTTTCGAATTTTCCGAATCCGCGCACCAAGAATTATTAATTAGCAATTTTAAGCCATTTGGTGATGGTGGGATTTCAGCTGAGGATGAACATTCATGTGAAGTTATTATGAGTGGCATTTGGTCTCAAGATGAACTACCTTTTGGAGTTGGAGGTGATGATAGTAATGCAGATTTGTTCAGCATTTTCCCATGTTAATTTCAAGTCACAAAGGAGCCAGTCTGAGGTCAAACACAGAGAGAGTTGATTGTTTTGCATGTGTTTGATTGGTTATATGATGATGTCATGGGCATGAACAAATTGATGTAAGCAAAAGAAAATTGAGGATTAATGTCTTCTTTTTTTTAAAATATATATATATATATATATATATATATATATATATGTATTATTAGTGTAAGTATATAATGAGACCTTAGCATTTGTGTATACCATGTATCACGCTTGTTATTTTTACTTAACCCATTTTGTTCTGATCCTTGGAGAAAAAGATTCATTCTCTTCATAAAAATAAAAAATAGGAGGTAGAACCAATAAAGATTTCTTTTTCGATTCATCCCGGGCCTGTAACGGCAGCAAGTAGTTGAGTTCAGTAGTTCCTCATATCCAATTATTGACTCTAGAGATATATTTTCTCCTACGTTTTTCCTTTTGTTTTTTTGATTGCTTTCATACTATAGATGCAAACGAATCGAGCAGCTCGCTAGCGCTCGAGTCAAAGCTCGACTCGAGCTCAAGTTTGACCGAACTCGAGCAGCTCGAGCATAAACTCAAGTCGATCTCGAACCCATATTTTGCATTATCGAGCATTTTGATTTCGCTAGCTCGAGCAATTGTACTTTTCTATCGAGTCGAACTCGAGCCTCATAAATTAAGCTCGAGCGCATAAAAAAAAATACATAATTTTGCTCGATAAGACCAATACTCAGCTCCACTCGTTTGCAGCACTATTTCACACACAAAACATTAATTAAAACAAGAACAAAGTCCATGTATCAATCTGGCATCACTATCCCACGATTGGCTCCCAAATGCTAAATTTGAGATTTCAGGTTGCTGATGGGATAATTATTCAAATTTGTAGATTCCATTTGTGCCGTTTGGAATACCTTCCCAGTGTTTTAACTTGAATCTGATGTAACAATAACAAATTAACACACAAAAACAGTAATGAATTGAGGACATATTTCCAAAGGGATATCAAATCATAGATTTCCAGCAAACAAATGACATAGATTTGCAGCAGACAAACGACGCATGGCTAATCATAAAGAGACAATTGTGTTGGAACTTATTCGTCATCTATACAACTGTGTTTTACCCGGAAAAAGCACATCCATTAATTTTATCTGGAAATCAGGGCGGCACTCAATAGCTTTCATCTTCCATCATACAGCAGATTCAATATTTTTACAAATTCTTCCCCATTAATATGTCTGCAAAGCAGCCATCAAAGTGAATTGTTAGCAGATCACACAGGAATGAGGTGTGAATTCACTCGGAATCCGTAACAAACCCCTATAGGGAAAACCAATCCATTAACATAAAACATTTTTGATCCACAATTATCCTAAAATAAATGGTTGCGGTAGACAAAGTCAGCATAGCAATAATCGATCACTGAAAATGTTAATCATATACTGACAAAAAGGTAGATTCTTGCTTTACACAAATGTGAATAGTATAAGCACACTTGAGTATATTAAAAACTTAATCCCAGTTAAGAAAATTGATTCACTATTTTACATTTTTCCATTATCAGAAGTAACATTACACACCCATTTGACAAGTGGATAACAAATTATCCATTCTTTCAGTACTCGAGCGCCATGCCATAACTGAGTTCTCTCATGGGTTGCAAATAATATTAAATTGAAAACCACCACAAACGACTGAACTTATAAGCTGCCTCATAAAAGCTGATTGGAGGAGGCATAGCAGGCAACAACTGTGATTAACAAATAATTTAGTTCAGCAGCAATATAGATAAGCTCCCAATTATACTTGTGCAAATAACAATGTTATCCTTCATTCAAAGTTCAATCTGGGATGACAATAAGCAATTCTACTCATTAATTTATAAGAGCAAATTTCCCCATAGACCACCCAACCGACATGTTTGATATACCTATAAAGAAGTCCTGCTCAGTATACTCAGTGAAGAAGCACAAGAATAAATGAATTTCAAGAATTTATTCATTTATCCAGTGAAATATCACACACCTCCTAATAGTAATAACCTCAGCCGTTCTCTCTCATTTCGAATTGAGCTAGAGTAAATTATGTTCAATTAAAGAGCCACAAAAGAAGAGCAGTACAGAGTACCTCATTAATTTATCAGCTTGCAACAACCAGACAAAACTGAGTAACTAACAGAATACAGGTCAGAGAAAATTACCTTAAAGGGCCATCTCTCTCTGCAACTCTGCAAGCTCATCATCCTCATCCTCAACCTTGTTTGCTGGCTGCCTTCCGGCAGGAACACGGACAGGGGCAGCAGGAGCCGTTGTTGCGGGTTGCAAAAGCTGTTCTTCCAGCTCAGCTCCTTCGAGTTCTTCAAGCTCCGCCTCCAGTTCATCCTGTTGAAGGGAAAAGAAGTGAGAAGTATTGTACCAGAAAGGAAACAGGATAAAAAGCTATAAAAAATTGGAAACTATATAACATGCCTCGTCAAAATCAGCTGAAGCACCAATTGGTGCTGACAGAGCTTCTTGAATCTGTTTCATATTCTCAGTCTGCTCGTTGATTTCGTCCATTGTCTTGTCCACATCATCAATATTACTAGATCAAGAAAAGCCAATGTCAGATTTTAATTGTTGCTTCTTAAGATAACATTGAAATAAAAAGACACAAATATGAAGCTATCAGGATTATGCTTCTGCAGATATTTATGTGACTAGCCAGATTCTTATTTCAAATAACGAAAAAGCAACATCAAAATTGAATCATAATACATTTATGTCAATATATGCAAATGCAGTAGTCCAGTGCAACCTCTAGATTCCATACATTTTCATTAATTGGAGAACAAAAAACACGCGAAAGAATTTCAAGTCCTGTAGCTTAATCTCCACCAGTTTTTAGACCTCTCAAAATAAATAATATAATACTATTTCCTTCCTTTGTTTGATTATTCTCCTTTTTATTTGAATTTGAATACGTTGTTCTGTATATCTCAATTTTCTTTTCCAGAATGAGGTGGTAACTGTACTATCTTTGAACATTTTACTGCTATCAACATAACTTACGTCGCCTTCTGCATAGCTTTCATGGCAGCTGCTCCAGTTCTCAAAGCATCAACAGTTTCTGTCGTGGCTTTCGCCCCTTCAAGCATAATCATCTGCAAACAAGGTGCATGCCCAGCTTAAAATGACAGTACATGGACAGCTCAATAGGATAATTACATTATTTAAACTTATTGAGGGCACCTGGTCATGAATGCGCAACTGGAAATTCCCGAGCTGTTCAATTTGTTGTTCATAAAGCCTTTTCCTCTTTAAGCATTGTATTGCAGCTAAAAACAAATTTGCAGAAATAGCTTCTTTAAGAGGGAAGTAATAGCAAGCACAAACTGAACCAACTCATGGAATTTTTCTGGTCTGAAAGAAAGTATAGAATACTCCTTAATACAATTCATTGATTGAATGATTGTAAAGTGGGAAAAATGAAAAATACGGTAACCATGTCGTAAAACCCGAGGTATTTTAAGTACCTCAACAAAGGAGTACCATACGAAGAATTAGAAAACTCAGATCCAGCTCAATTCTTTTTTAGCATGACCAACAAAATGGATGGAAACAACTAGACAACAAGACTAATACTGAAGAGCCCACCTCTTTTATTTTTAGCTTTAGTGAACTCCTTGGCCTTTTCGACTTCTGACGCAGCTTTCTTTAATAGGACCTTCTCTTTTTTCTCAAGCATCTCAAGAGTCTGAGCACAACACCCAAATGAGCACTCAAACAATTAAACAAAATTGCTACAAGTCTACGAAGATAATACTGGAAACCAAAATGCACCAAACTAACCGATTAACAATCGACCGAAGACATAAAATTATAAAATCCATGGAAGACTAAAAAAACCACAGCGATCAATTTCCAAATATAACCCAAAACTGAAAAAGATTGTAAGATGTCATATCATAAATTCAACCCGCCAATTATCACTGTGCCATCATCATCATCATCCACAGTTTCTTCTTTACTTCCATTTAGCATAACAAGAATCTTCACGGCATATCAAAAAAAAAAAAAAAAGGAAGATGATAAAAAAAAAATAAAAACGAAATCATGAATCATAGATAACAATCCATACCTCGTTCAACTTGTCCAACGTTGCAAGAGCATTTGTCTCTTGCTTTGGCTTTCCGAAAATCCGCGTAAACATTGTCGGACGAAGTGTTTCAAAAGGAAAACACAAGCGGAAGCCCTAAATACAAACAGCTGTGATTGATCAAAATTCGAATAGAGCAATCTTAATCGAGCAATGATTACTGACCTGTAGATTCCAACCGATGAAGAAATCGAAGACTTCACGAGCTAAATTTGCAGGAAGATTTGTAGGGATTTTATGTATGAATTGAAAAGGTAAAAACTTTTAGGAGTCGCTGATAGAGAAGACCCTTTTCATTTGTAACTTCGTGGTGTTTAAAACCGTGTTTGTTTGGGTGGGAGGTGTTGGGTGGGTGCGAAGACTTCCGGAACCCTGTTTGGTTTACATTTTTTGTTATTGGGTTTGATATATTCAACTTTTTTTATTGGGTTTGATATTTGTATAATTCATTTTTCTGGTTTTTTTTTTTATATATATACTTAACTGATTGCTAAATAATTGTAAAATATTAAATAAAAACATTGTTTACTTAATTACGTAAACTAACATAAATATTTAGATAAATACTAGCCATAAAATATTCCCATCACACACCCATTTTCGTGAAATTCAAATCTAAAACCCGACGACAACGTGAAAATTGGGGCCTAGAGAATTTCTGCTGAGATCAAGCTCCTCTAAGGGCAGCAGATTTGACACGGTGTCGTTGGCAGGTTGTCGGTGAGGGTGAGGGTCTTCAGGCTACGGTAGGTGGCGATCAACTGGGGAATTTCTCAGAGCAGGAAGTTGGCGCTGAGGTTGAGGAGCTCGAGGGATCTGAAGCAGTTGATCTTGCGCAGCAGCGGGACCCACAACCCGAGGGAGACTAGTGCCAGCTTCTGCAGGCTCGAGAGCTTCGTAAGGACGGTGAAGAAGGAGTCGATCGAGAATTTATCGGAAAGAGCGCCACCAGGAATGAAAAAGTGTGACCGAGAGAGGTTTAGGATTTAAGACGCGAGATCCAGATGCTGACGATGGTTAGTTTTGTGACGCGGTTTTTGGTGTAGACGATGGTGAGAGAAGGAGTTTGAGGCATAAAGCAGAAGTTGGTCCAGGTTTGGAGCGAGGGTGGGAATTCCAGAAGCTAGCGTGTTTGGAATAAGATTCTCGTTTCTCTTGGAGATAGCTAAGCGATTGAGGATGGAAGACATTGGAGCAACACGAAAATGGCAGCCAACATGTGAGTGAAAGAAAATGTACGGTTCAGTTGTGGATAGACAGAAGTTGATCCCTATGCCAATGTGATGTCTCCGACGAGGGAGACGTCGTCAGAGGTGGAGGATCTGGCTTGGGAGATTTCTAGGGTTTCTGACGATCGTGAATTAGGGTGAATTTGAGAAGATGATGGTGTATAACTCATGTAAATTTTGGATTTCAATGTTTATTTGATGATTATGATTAGTTTATGTTTGATATATGAACATATTTTTTTAGTTGTGTAACGAGATTTGATAATATAAACCGGTTACAAATTGCAGTAAACTATATATATACCTGAAAGAGATACTAGTGAATAATTTTACAATAATACTAATTTTTTTACTATAAATTTATATCTAGTTTATTTTTCAGTTTATGATATATTTACAAACCAATACAATGATGCATAAATTATGCATAAACATCAAGTAATCAGAATTGCCATTCTATTCACACATATTAAAAAAAAAATTATTTAGCGTGCTTGTCGTTGTCGGACCACGAGTCGCTGTACATGTCGTCCGACCCAACGAATGTGCTAAAGCCCTCCATCCATCCCGATCCAAACTCGCTCTCAAAGGTCGCATCGACGGCCAGGAGAACCTTGTTGGGGTATACAGTAGAAGCTCGACTTTGTATTACTCAGAATTCTATTTTGAATGAGGTTTGTGTCTTTAGTCAAGTGTATGTTCGTAGTTTATTTATATATGCGAACATAGTTTCTTTATTTTATATTATAGATAATATGGTTTGATATAAGTCGAACAGAAGATCATACTATCGGTGCTTTGTAAAATATAAATATTTGTTCACAGTCCAAATAGAAATGAAGTAATTATCGTGAAAAATGTATTGTGATTTTGAATTATTTGATATTTGACTAATGACTTATACTAGTACATCTTGGACGGACCTACAGGAGGATAAGATTATTTTATACTGACAAAGTAATCTAGACCTCAATAATTGTTGCACTCCTTTAACCCATAAGACAATAAACAGGCATATGTATTCGGTGGTTATTTATTTGATTTACTATGGGTGAGACTTATTTTGTTAGGTCGACACATTCTGTATTTTGGTATAAATAATGTCGATTGCGTGGTGTTTCGTTAAGATTTTTTATGGTCACTGTGTCCCGGTTTGCCCGGTTGATGACGTCCCAAAATAAGCTCAAGAAGATTTATTATGTCAACTCGGCCAGTGTATTAATTTCAGACATAATAATAAATAATTGAGTGGTACTATTTTCGATTTAAAAAGTTGATTAATTATAGTGTTTGTCCCATTTTTGTTGCGTTTTTCGTATTTATTGTATCTTTATTTTCCCCCGTTTTAGGTCGTTTCTTTAGTTTTTAGTCCGTTTCGTGTTTTATTATGTGTTTTTCTTTCATTTTGAGTCTTTAGGTGTTTTTCGTTTGTTTTTCCAGTTTTCTTTTGTGTTTTGTCGTTTTTGGTGTGTAGGTCGGGATCTTCGAGCGAATTTTCTCTTCAGGAAAAGTTGGTTTGTAGAGCATAATTGAATAGGGGGGTTCGTTAGTGACGCGTAGGAAAAAACAGAACTCAATTCCGAGTTCGGACGAGCCCAAACGAGCCCAAAACGTAAAGTAGCACAATGCAGTCCAAAGTCACGACTCGCGTGAGCAAAGTCGCGACTCGCGACTCGCGACATGAGAGTCGCGACTCGCAAAAATGTCGCGCGTCGCGAGCTTCCCAACGTTTTAATGCAGTCGGTCTCTGTTTTTCTCGCGAGTCGCGACTGCTTCGACCCTGTTTTTATTTTTGTTCGTTTTTACTCGTTTTAGCTCCGTTTTTCGAGTTCTATATATCAAAACGACCCTCCAGACCTAAAGAACAACCCCCAGTATCGCTCCTTTCATTTTTTCTCTTCAAAACTCAATATTGTTAGGATAATTTTCTTCGCTTTTCTTTTTATTTTCTCATGCTTAGATTGTTGGACACAAAGATATTTAGATTGAAATCTTGCAAGTCTTAATACGATTGTAAGTTTTTCAATTCTATTCGATTATTGTTGATTGGTTTTATGTTCTTAATTCTGGTTAAATGAGATTGAATCTAAGCATGAGGTAATCCATTCACCTAGAGTTTAGGGATTTTGATTCTTGTTTTGAATTATGAGGAATGTGTTTTGTTCAATCTACACGAGTTGTGTGAATTATAGGGTTAGTTGATTGATCACCATTCTAACCTAGTTAATCGGCGAGTAGAACCGAGAAGGGAGACGTTGTTCGATTTAGGCTCGTATAGAGTAGACATGTTCGTAAAAGTATTGTCTATGTGTTGCTTGCTTGAATGAGTTTATCGTTTATGTATGTGCTCTTGTTACGAAAAGTTATTGAGCATAGCCCTCTAGACGTGTAGGCTTGTTAAATCTCGTAACCGAACAAATAAGCGTTCAACATACTTTAAGACTTAATGAGATTTTCCGACCCTAGAACTTCTTCTTTTTCTCTAGCAATTTATTTGTTATTTCATTATTCGCTTTCCTAGTTCTAATTAGTTTTAGATATTTCTCCAATCATCCTTGATTAGAGTGTTTGGGATTTATTTTCTTTTCGTGTGTGATTAATACCAACGCTAAATTCTGAACCGTCTTCCTCGAGAGATCGACCCGGGGAACGAATCTTTTAATTCGGTACTCGGTAAAAATAAAAATAATTTGCTACAACATATTGTCAATAACTAAATTAACCAAAGAATGTTATATCTTAAATCGAGCAATTAGCCGCGACATGAATTAATTGTAATTCAGAGCTAAATGGAAGTGCAATAATATTACTCTAGTGAAATGTTCTATTATTCAAATAGAAATAAGGTGTGAACACAATGCTTGCTATTTCTACTTGGGAAACCCATATTTAGCACCTCTTTAGGGTCTATGTTGTAGCCATAAATACACCAAGTCTCCTAGCCTCCATGAAAATTATTTTTACATGAACAAATACACGTGAGATTAAGAGTTCTCTCTTTGGAAAAGTTCAGATAAAACTAAGAGGTCTTAGGAGAGAAAACCGAGAGGCTTTGTAAGTTTCTTTTAGTCGCTCCACCCAAAACCATTCAGAGAATATGTAAAGGTCATACAACAGAAGATTATGAGGTCTTGGTTTTGCATCCTGACGAATATATATATATATATATATATATATATATATATACATCCATCTTGTCGAATATATATGTTCTCGCGGCATCTCAGACGATCACGAAACATGAAGAGCACCACAACTGGAGGATGACGCATCCACTGGTGTGCCCAGCACCACAAGTTGCAGCTGCGCTTGACGGTGCCGAAGCCCCACATGCCGCCGCGCGACCTGCGCACAGACCGTGCAACACCCGTGACCCGCATCGTAGCCTGCAGATAGCGTGACCCACTTTCTCCGTACGATTTATTTGTGTGATCCGCGTGCTCCGCGCTATCGCCCGCGCGCCCCGCGTGTTCCGCACAGACGATATGCAATCCAGAAACCCTGCACACGTCTTAACACACAGACCGCGCGATGTCTTGACGACCACAGCACCAGACTGCGCGACCAGTGCCTCCACCGCGAGAAGTCTCGACGACAGTGCAACCTAGGGTCGCACCAAACTGCATGACCCTCGATCGTCAGTGCACTAGTGGATCCCAGACGAACCATACATGCACCAGGTGAGTCGTGGCGAGTCTGAACCAGCTCTAGTAGCTCATGTGCGGTCCGATAGCAGTTTGACAATCCAAGGCCAGCCCAACAAACCAACGGACTCTGAGATTCAGACAATCTCCAACACCGGAACTCATAAACTTCTCATAGGCGACAGAATTTTAAACTGTAAGTACTGATCCAAACTATAGATTCTGCTACGCTAGGATTTATATTTTATAGAATTGTACATCAACGACGTTCCTCATAGAACCCAACAAACCTCCTCGAACATTACTTAGTACGAGGAAAGCATAAAAAACAATCTTGAATTCTTGATTTTTCTTGCCCCGATCTGTTGAAGAAACCCTTTTATTTCCCGATAATATTGAGGGATGGAGAAAATGAAAGTCGGCGACTGCACTGTCTGTCGCCACAACCACGTCGAGATTGGCAGTCATCGCCCATCGGAGAAAATCCTATGCAAATTTCAATACCAGTCTAAGAAGGCTTGAGTGCAAATCGTAAACCCATTGTTCAGGCAGAACGATCAGCCCAAAAAAGTCGACTACCGTCCTCAACCAAAATTTCTATGTCCGACCCTTCACTGGTTGCACCGTGACACCGTTGGTGCTCCGAACGGGCAATCACTGCTCAGCCGACCCTCCGCCTTTTGAATCGCTACACCAGAAGACTACCAACCACCCGCCGGTCACCTCACAACCACTGGATGTTTAGTTCGGTAGATTGACCCTGCCTCGTCGACGCGTCCGCTAGCCTCTATCAATCTGCTCTGCTTTCAGCTGCCCGGAGCCACTAGTTGCCTCTCCTCTAACCGCCACCTGGGCGTCGTCCACCGTCAAGATATGCAAAATTGGGACGTGAATACAAGAAAAGGGTGACGGAAGTTTATTGTTTTTTAAAAGAATTTTGAGAATGGCTGTTCAATTTTGGATTTGGGAAGTTGTAGGTGTCTGCAAATAGAAGAAGAAGAAGAAGAAGAAGAAGAAGAAGAAGAAGAAGAAGAAGAAGAAGAAGAAGAAGAAGAAGAAGAAGAAGAAGAAGAAGAAGAGAGGAGAAGAAGAAGAAGAAGAAGAAGAAGAAGAAGAAGAAGAAGAAGAAGAAGAGAGGAGAAGAAGAAGAAGAAGAAGAAGAGAGGAGAATTGTCGGGAAGGAAAAATGGGAAGGTGGTGTTGGATAAAGAATGTTTGTATAATTGCAAATAAAAATTAGGGTTTGGTATAATTGCAAATAAAAGATAAGGTTAGTATATGTGCAAATAAAATTGATCTTGACGTGTAGAGTAGTTT